CATTGCACGAGCATTTACAGAAACAGTGGGATAAATAGAAGTTCGGCGGAATACAGCACCGAAATCAAACGATAAAGTAATACCGGCGGTTTTGGCTTTCCAATACAAAAACTCGTTAAGCGCAAGAGAACAATTTTATTCTGATGAACGATATTTCTTGTCATTACATTACCACTAATTTTATTATTTATAATTACGAGTCATTCGGCATGATTCTATCAAGAAATTATCAGGATGGAAAAGAGAGAAAAAAGCTAATTATGAATTAAAAAGGAAAGGGGAATTAATAAGATACAGTATCCATATTCCAACATGAACTCATTGCCATTAGCTATTCATTCTCATTCGCATTGCTGATAATGCGCTTTTAAATTATTCAAATATTGTGTCTTTTCAAAATTTAATTCAATACTAAAAAATAAGGAAATTATATGTTAAAAATAGAAATTTGAATTGTTGGAAGGGAAAGACAGTATGAGTGCACAGTTGACCTAAATATTTGTTAGTAATACTAAGAGTTTAGTATGTGTGTTGAAATTATTTATTTGTGATTCCCGAATTCCCTGGTTTCTTCTTTTGGTACTACCAAAATTCTGAAAAACTCTCAAGTACCGGTTTTCAAATCTATTCGTCAATAAATGGATTCTGGTAAAAGGACTTCAAGTATTTGGTGGATATGTCCCGCTTTTGCGCGGTTCCTTCCTAAGACACTGAGATGAGATGTGATCCTTTTCCACTACTCAGAGAAGCTAAACCAGTACTTTATTTCCATAATGATTCTAATGTACTGTGACAAATCTTCAACTTCACATTTAAAGGATTATAGTGGAAAGACTCTGCGTGTGCGTGCATATATATATATATATATATATATATATGTGTGTGAGTGGTGTCTGTTTGTGTCTGCACGTCTATGCAGCGAACGTATCTGTCGTTATGAATGATTACTGAGCACATTCAGACACATTACACATTCACATAAAGAAAGTATTATCTATTTATGTATCAAATCACATCAGACTAAATGAGACCAAATCAAATTAGATCAAGTTAGATCAGATTGGATTAGATCATATCATGTGATATACTAATTACTTATCTGTTATGAAACACTATATTGGAAGCAAGCATGGAAAGATTAATTGACTGTCCTTGGACTGGTCATCGTAAATTCAAAAAAAAAAAACTACCAATGTTTTTAAATAATTTGGCATTATTGGTATTAAAAAAGTCATGGGACATTTACGATTTACTTCAAAATAAAATTAAAGCACGCTTAACAGTCTTATAATTCTATTTTTGAATTTAAAGAAGCTATCCTTCCATTTTATTCTTGAAGTTTTTTAATCACTTTTTCTTTGATTATATTCTCCAAAATTAAAATTGTTTTTCACTACTTCTCAAGAATCGGAACAATATGACAAGAAGGATAGCAAAGGATGCTATGCAAAAATTTCATCTTATCCTAGCATCCTTGATTGTTCTGAGCGATATAGCCTTGCTATCTCTTCTTCCTAGATTGTACTTATCCATATCCAGGTTTATCCGTGTCATAGACATCTCGTCGCTGCTACGCTTAAGAACAGTGGGATGATTCACATGGTTGCAAACGAGCAAATAACATAGGATGAACAGTTAACATCGCCACTATTAAATTGCATTACTTATTCAGTCACAAGAAGTAATTATGAAGCATCTCTTTCAAATTACAATCCTTATAATACCATTTGAAAATTCAGTAAAGTTTTTAATTTTAATTGAAAATGAACATCGTAGTTCTATCTCGCACATGTTATACACTTTTGTTCCGACTCTAAAGTGCCAGACAAGATGGGACTCGAAAGTACCAGACAAAATTGGGTTCGAAAGTGTTAAGAAAGATTTGCATGCAAATAATGCAGGTACTTCCACTTTCACATTTGACGATTCAGTAATGAAAATAATAAAACAAATCTGATCTGTTCGTTTAGCTATGGTATTTTTGTCGTAGTGAGCCAACGAAATATATGCCAGTTTCATTATTTTCGAAATTCATTATCTAACACTTCATTTCAGGATTTTCGTTTTAAAACGATAATCGTTCATATGATGGCATTTTTCTTTCATGAATTATTGGTCGAAAAATTTCTAGGTTTTTTTATTCCGAAAGACATATTTCGAAATAAGACTTCAACTCTTGAAATAGGACTTAACAGTGAAGATTTAAGTATATCTCTTGCACACAGTTTTTTCCTTAAGTGAGCACTCGTTTTTTTAAAGGCTTTTCTAAATTACGGTTGGTAAGCGGAAAGCTTACGCCAATGAATAATAATGCGCCATAAATTTCTTCCGACTGTTATCACGTTGAATGTTTTGGCAAACAATGTTGATAATAGATTGAATTTTGTAACAAATATCTTGTATCATTTCGTCGAATTCAGCAGCATATGTGAAATGATTCACGTACGTTCTGGTACCATGAGTAGTAAATAAATTGATATACTTCTTGTGTTACGTCAATTATCGCTATTAATTTCAAATTATTTCTGCACTAAATTTATTATCTGAATTTTGTCAAAAAAACTACTCCCAGTACCAACAAAAATAATCGAGCAGTAGTTTACAGCACACATTAAGTGAATGGTTGTGATATAGCAGCCATTTATTCAATGCTACTTTTATTTGTCAAAACATTTCGGCGCCAGCCATTTTAAAACGATCACAAAATTGCTACCACTTTTTTTCTCCTTGTCTTTCTCATTTTGAATGCTATAGAGATGCTGTAATTTCATCATTTCTATTGCCGAATAATCCGATGGTTATTTAATTGTGCATTCATTAACTGCTACATCTATTCATCTTCAACTATGATATGTAATTATTAAATGAAGCGTGTTCTATGATGATAGCAGTTCGACATGAATGAAACTTATCCATCCGTGGATTATTTTTAAATCTACTGGTACTACTGCCTGCACAGCAGTGTTCAGCATGGGCTTGGTGACGTGATTCGACCATATGCAATTATTAGCTTCTCTGTCTAACAGACGTTGATGTAAAATTCGTGGAAACAGTATGATATTGAATTTCAGCATTCATTTGTAGATAAATTAATTATTGTAAATATAAGAAAAGGAAGAATCATATGTGTTTTATAGTATCTATGAGGAGAAAAAAAAGAAATGGAACAATTTATTTGAGATATTTATGTTTGAAATTTGACTTAGAGTTATGAATGTTACATTCATAACATTATCAACGTTATCATTCAGGATAATTATAAACAAAGTTGGGAAATGTTTGAGAAAAGTTGCAACAAATGTTCTAAGAGAATAATGAAAAAGAGTACAACAATGTAAAAAGAAAAAAAACAAAACAAAAACAAAATGTATAATGGGAAAAATCAATGATTGTGAAAGAGAGCATTCCGTTCTCATTTTACTTTTATTTCAGGCTTTAGTAAACTTCATCCCTGAATTTATTAAACTCCGTTGTGTATTAGAATGTTTGAAGCAAAAGGAATTCATACAATAATTGTTGTTTTGGTTCATTGAGCAGAAGACGGATCCATGGTAATCTTGACTGATCTATCCCTGTTAGTTAAGCTTGGGCTTTAGAAGAGATCATTCTCCGGTCTTTCACTGTTCACTACTTCATTCAGCTATTTGTTTGCAGTTATCTTCTTGAAGTTCTATCCCGATGATCGGTTTGATTATTTGATACAGTTTTTTGCTTGAGATAGCACGTGAATGGTTTTGCAGATGCATGCAGCGAGAGTTTTCACGTTTTCTCTCCTTCACTTATGTGTTCTTAAACATAATAAAGAAAAAGTCCCCAGCAATATTGTCGTCACTCTTTGAATCGTCGGTGAATATGTCGCACTGCAGAGCGCCCTTTTCTCTCGTCCTATCATCATCGTCTTCGTCAACCGCTTTGACTGCCATCTCTTCCGTGTGAGTGTGTGTGTCTATGTCTGTGTATCTATATGTGTGTCAGACTTGGTTATAAATATGCATTTATATATGTATACAAATGTATCGATGATTGGCAGAGGTGTGGAGTAGTGCAGACGGAGATGACAGAGCGTTGTAAGGCAGTGAACGATTGCATGTAGGCATGCAGTGCGGTTGTAATTGCAGCAGCAGTAGCAGCAGTAGTAGTAAGTAGCAGTAGCAGTAGTAGTAATGGTAGTAAGCCGCCCCTCTGTGTCAACTGCCTGCAAGTAGCACTTAGAGAGTCGCTCTCCTTCATTATTGCAAGCAGTTGATGAGGACAGCTTGCAGTACATGTCGAACTGAAGGACTTCGTCGAGGCGATCACTGAGTGGCTCTCTGAACTGTTGGAGATGAGACGGGAAGGCTTAGCAAAAGTCCTTATGTGTTACTTTGTTAGAAACACTCACTGAATTGATCAGTTTACAGACTTTGGAATGAAATTTATTTTAGCATTACATCTTTCAACCCTGAAAATGCATGATGAAATGAAAATTTAGAGTGGTAGTATGTATCTTCAAGATTGATCTGATGCAGGATTGGCTTGATAATAATTATGGATGGCTAGACGAAGTACTGACTTCCTTTTCACAAACAAATGTAATGTCAGTCACCTAGAGACAATCATTCATCATATTTTAAAAAATGTGCCAAGGATGAATTTATCGTCCCATTAACAATTTAGGTTTTTCCCGCAACTACTAATTTTTCACTGTTCAAATGTACTTGAAAAAGTATTGTAATTTGGAATCCCTTCGCTGACATTTATCACTAACTCTGTGATACGAATTGTAAATGACCTTTCTTTCAGCAGTCATTAAGGTCTCTGGCAAAGTTGCAAGTGGATGGTAGGGAATGTAGCATGTGAAAATCTTTCCCTGAATTTATTCTGCCAATTATGAAGTTAGTTAATTAATTAAATAGTAATAAAGGGAGAAGGGTCTGGTGAAAATCATGCATGGCGTATGCGCTGTGCGTCTCTGAAAGCAGTAACCGGTTTTCCACATTCAGATCAGTACCGTTGATGACTTCTACCTAAAGTTATTCAAGTCGTAATTATGTCTTGAGGTCAAATCTTTTATGGTTGTTGGTCATCCACTCATCTCATGTTAAAACACTTGAGATACGATATAATGAAATCGAGTGGAAGGAAGAGCACAAGAGAGAAAAAAGAGAAGAGGTAGAAAACAATGAAGTATTATGGAGTGGAATGAAATAGATAAATAAGGCATAAATGAGTGATGTAAGGGGAAATAGAATAGAAAGAGAGTGGAATATTGCAGTGAATTGAGAAGTAATTTTTATCAATGAAACCATTGATATTCAAAGTGCGCAAAATTGATGGAAAGAGATTTTTTCAGAAATATTACTGCAAAGAGTTAACAAAAAAAAAGTGAAATGCAAAAGGAGCGATGTTCGCAGTGAGATGATGACATATAAGCGCAGGAAAATGAGACAGGAGATGGTCTTCCCAACTTGGTACTGATTCATTCCTATCTCCATTACTGTAAAGATAATTAACATAATGGCAAGGAAGGCGGTAATTAACCACGCAATCAATTGTTAGTTGCTTGAATAAAACTGCATTGACACCTCGACAGCTGTAGAAGAGACCATTTCTATGGCTAATTTTAATGATAAGCATCCAACTGAGTAAAATGCAATGGTTAGAGCTTATTTGTGGACATAGACCATTAACAGATGAGCAAACAAACCAGTGGACAAGAAGCGCCCGACTGGCTACACCCTCTTTCCTCTAGCTTTATGTCCAGTAACACAATGGATGGTTACAGACACAGACAATCACGTTCACATGTTTGATGCACAATTCGTACAAGTGACAAGCACACGCTGCACATTGGCACGCAGATTGCATCCTTAATTCCGTGCAGACAATCTTCTAATAGTATTGGCTTAATGCTAGAACCAACAATTAAAGACTATGAAACCCGTCGAAATGTCCCAATTTAACGTTTCAAAACGTGAAGGTTTTGAAGTACGCAGTGGAATATATACATTCCGTGCATGCTTCTTGCTTAAACAGCCATTGGTAAGTAAATTGAACAAGTAACATATAGTCTAGTACAGCCAATATACTTCGTACCTATTGATGTATTCAAGCAAAGTTTGTTTACAGCTGATTTCCTACCATTTTTTTTTTTTTTTTTTAGAGAAGCGGACGTTTTCAACAATTAATTGACAATAGGTTTCTCTTCGTTAATACGAATCCTAAATTTGCCAACTTTTTTTAGCTTTCTTTTTTTAATATTATGACCAATTTCAACGAGACTTCAATAGAAGTTAACTGAAGTTAAACGTCGTTCACATTTCAAGTAATTAGTCCGGAAACTTTCGACATTTCATCACAAGTTCAAATTGAAATGTCATTCATCAGCTATCAAAACCAGGTTGAAAAAACAGTATGGTAGAAGCAATCTTTAGATCTAGTCGAGAATAACTAATTTTTTCATACCTTATTTCCAAGTAACTATATAGAATACGATGGATATGGTAGTTGTAAATAAATCGCATATATACAATTTTGTTTTTGGCAAAACTAGATTTGCTTGTCATAAAGGTGCAATTTTTCAAGTATCTTTTCCAAACGTTAGATTATACAGCTTTGCAGGATTATCTGGAAAGTGAGAATTTGAAGTTATCGTACCAGCAAATTACAGTAAGCCGACAAATAGTTCATTGTGAAATGATGTTTTGGAGCATTTTTTGGGTAAAACAGGAGCAGAGGTAAAATAGATGATGCTGAATTTTGGATTTTTTCAAATACCGAAGTGGTGGTTCCGAATTTTCGGATTGAGAAATGAGAAGACTTGAGATTATAATTGAAAACTACATGAGACAGATGTTTGGTAACTTTTTTATATCCCTGTTAATTACTCACGCACAACTAATCAATGATAATGTGAAAAATTACATAAAAGTAACAAATGGTTCCCATCTTTGTGATTGTCTCAGAGGTTTTGAGGATGTGGAAGTATCAAATACCAACTTTATTAGCATGCTAATTGAATCATTTCCTTGGGAAGATATTGCATCAGATAAGGGTATATATTCAACCTGCTTGACAGTTCACGATGTAAGTTGTCAATTAAAATTTTTTAAATTTATCTGCTGGTTACAATATTAATAGTTAGGACTATCCGGACAAGATATTAATTTGTTTGGAAGTTTATACTGACAGCTGTTTAATTTACTTACTTTTAATCATTATCAGGAGTTGGGGCTTATGCAGGCCTACATTTGAAACGAGAATACTCAATTCTCACTGAATCCAAAAACGATTTACATGAACTCGGGATAAAGCCATTTTTTCTTCATAATCGAATCACACCATTAAACTAAATCAATATCACTCATATCATATTTTATCGATTCCGAAAAAAAGAAAACGAGAGGAAAGAAAATGAAAAATGGAAACTGTATGAAAAAACTTCAGAAAAGGTTTCAGAAATATATAAATGAAAGCAAAAAAATATACAAATATTTTGCACCAGTTTTCATTTTCATCTAATCTAACATGTTATTATAATTTAACTTTACACTGATTTGTGCGACAAATTCAGTTCACAGTTTCAATTCTAGTTTTTTTTTTTTTGAAAGAGGAAGAAATCTTAAAAGCCAGTGTTAATCGAATCTTAGAATATGTTTCTTTTTGGATATTACAACCGAAGGAACGTAATTCCTGTCATTTGTGGATTATTAAACAGTAAAATATTCTAAATGCTTGAAAAAAAATATCTAACATACTCGATTTCGCACTTTACTTTTAGATCCATCCGTTTTTGTATCAGGAAACGATGAAATTCATCGTACCAATTATACACTACTTTTTCTTCCCATTTTCTCGAATTTCACGAAATAACAATTTTGTTAGTGTTTTCGCATGATTTTCTGATTCAGGCGGGTGGTTTACCGCAAAATGGAAATACTTATAAATGATTGGACATAGAATCATTTCATCAAGTCTTCATTGGTTAGGTACACTGAAATCAGTTTGAAAAAACTTATTTTCCTCTCTGCTGAAGTTTGTGAGCAGGTCTTTTTGTTAGTGGACAGCAATATTATGCTTCAAAATTGTATCCATCAGTTTTGGAAGCATTTTAGAAGCATCATCAAATACCGTAAGATAAAAGTTTTGAAGGCAAACTTTTTATCCAATTCTAAAAGGAGACGAAATAGCAAATTTCTTTTCCTTAATAATTATCAGCATCCAATTAGTAAATGAATTCCTGCGTTTTTTGTGACGATATAAGGTGTAATGCCAAGTAAAAGTTGTAAAAATAATATACATTCCATAATCAACCGGAAAATCTTCGGAAACTTTATTTTCAAAGCAGCAGAAAAATCGCTCGTTAAGCTATTTTCAGAGTTGATGAATGACATGTTATTTTGTGACGAGGTGAAAGTTCACTGCTGATAAAGATCTGTGGACGGCACAGATACTTCAGTTGTGTCAATATTTCCTTAGTTAATAATTCAGTACTTAACTTGTTTCATCGATCTCAAAGTAAAGCAATATTTTAAGGACAGTCACTTTTACGATATAACACTAACAACAATTGGTGTATTCATTCCGACTGTATCCCGAGTGATAATACTCGAACAGAAATTATGGTTCGATGTAAGTGCTGACGAATCAATTATCCGATCTATCTGCAACAAATGGTTAAGATGAAATGTGCTTCGGCTTGGGCAAATTCTTTCCCTACAACTTTTTAATAAAAAATAATAACTAGTTAGTTGATCAACTTGAAAATAACTTGTCATGTAAACCCGAAATGTCACCATTTCCAAAATGTCAATGCCGAAAGGTCATGTTGACAGATACATCAGAAAGGGACAATCATTGGTAGGTTGTTAAAATGATTAGTTCAGCAATGCTTCACGCTCATTTGCGCTATTAACTAAACATTCGCTGACGTGCATCCCTTACCACTCTCCTTGTCGCAGAAAGTGCTGTCAACATGCAGATTTGCTTTCTTCCATACTTCTTACTTTCTTGCTTTAATTCTGTTGTCAAATAGAGACACTGCTAATTATTGTTACACAGAGTAAAAGTTAGCGCTAATGGTAATTGAATACTACCGTATTCGGCCGATAAATGAATGAATGAATGCAAGGGGGAGTAAGAATATGGGTCAATGAGTATGTGTGTGTGTGTATATATATATATATATATATATATATATATATATGTGTATGTGTATGAATGAGGAGGGTTGTTTGTGATAGATGTTCTAGATGGGTAGATACCCAGGTCTCGGGTAGGTTAACAGAGAAGGAATAGAGAAAAAAATCTTCCTAGCAACGACGACACACAGCTATCGCAGCTATGTCTGTGCAAATGTCTCATCCCAAATTCATTTAAATGTATTTTCGAACTCAACGAGAGAGTAGAGCTACTAGAGAAGGAGAGTCACCATGCGTCGAAGATGAACAATGGAGGGCAGGCATTGCAGGCAGTGCCGTTCACTTACTATCGGACTCTTTCCTACATTGACAGATGGGCACAGACATGCAGAGATGCGCGCGTATAGAAGGACAGGCTCGTCTATACAGTGTCGAAGGTTGCATTTGGCAGGGCGGTGGAAAGGGATGAATGTGTCGTTGATTGCTTGCTCGACTCGCTTTACCCGAAATCGCAGATTACCCACTACTTTGCCCGCACGAACGTCTCTACCGGCCCGTTTCAACGGTTCTCCATTTCGGGTTCATCATGTTCATCACCTGCATCACCCTTGTTTCTGGAAGTTTCGCGAATTTGAACTTCTCTAATTTCAACTCATATATTGGAGTTGTCATCAATTACGTGCTGTTTACACATTCTTCTGTTTTTAGTCTCCCTAAAAGTCACATTACTGTAAACCATAGTACATGGTCCATTAATTATGTAGTTCATGTGTTTATGTGGATGTTACGTACATGCGTATGTATATACACATATATATATATATGTATATATGTATGTATGTATGTGTGGCTAATGAAACAGGCATCTTTTGGACGATGAAGTGATGAGTATGCCTTCTCGATAAGGCCCCATAAGTGCTACACACACATCAAAAATGCAGACCGACATGCATTTCTAACCGAAACGGACAGACGTAGTGTCCACTTGCTCTCATCTCTCCTACAGACTTAGCATACATAGAAACATATACATATACATACACATACACACACACATCAGAGAGACATACATGAAGAGATAGATAAGCATCAATCGATAGATAGAGGAGGACTCAATGATTGGAGCTACAGTGTATCGTTGTCTGCAGACTATAGTTTGGAAGTATGAAAGAAGCAAGATGTGCTATGATTGGTTGTACGAGTTGGAAGTGTAGGGAAGGGAGCAAAAGGTATGGCTATGCCCCGCCTCTACGACGTGGGATGGTATAGCGTTGTTGTTGTTGTTGTTGTTGTTGTTGCTGCTGCTGCTGCTACTGCTGTTGTTGTTACTGCTGCTGTGATGCATGGCACTTTGATATGGACGAGGTTGGGTAGGGCAGCGTAGGGTAAGGTAGAGTAGGGTAAATGAGCAGGTGAATGAGTGAGTGAGCGAGCCTAGAGCAGTTCGGCCCGAAAGACTTCGAATCCTGTGTTAATTCAAATTTCTTTTTCACTGACAAATTGGGATGTCATCTCATGTAACTAACTGCTGCATTAGGGTGGACCGATGGGAATACGTTGCAGGCTATCCGTTGTAGGCTGTTAGAGGCTGTCCCTTACGAGATGCAGTTTTGGGGCTTATCTGAAAGATGACATTAGAATTAAATATGAGAACACTATCACAAACTGCTGATAATCCTCTTTCATTGTTAGTTGTACTCTTCAAGAAATCATTCACTTTGCCATGCTTACCATCTTCTTCCTTCAACTTATTTTCCGGAGAGAAGCATACGGTGGACACTGTCATTGAAATTGAATGGATGAAATCCTTATTTTGCAGAAGAGGAAACATTCCGTTCTTTTGCCGTTTACTGCTGCCAAACAAATAGAATCACCAATGATTGGGAAAATCAGGATAGGAGTACTTATCGGAGTGTCGAATGTAGCTACCCGGGCGGGTAGGCATGGCATGTGTCTTCCTTTCATGCTACCTACCCTCTTTCTACATTAAAAAAAAACTATCCCTCACTTGGCCCTTTTTTCATACGCACGCTTCGTTTCCATCTTTATGCATACATTCTATCCTTCCGCTTACCGCTCGCAACAGATATTCACAAATTTCTCATTTTCGAAAAGGCCCTCTCATCCTGTACTCTCACTCTTTCCTATAGACTCGCCCCTCCCCTCTCCCAACCTTGTGTGTTTCCCAGGAGAAAATGAGTGCATGGGTGTCTGTACTACTAGGTAACGTAACACACCGATCTGTTACACTGACCCTCTGGGGTCTGTCGTCCCTCCCGCCCCACTTACCATAAGTCTTCCTTGCTTCCCTCAGTCTTACCCATCATCTTCATCATCTTTCACCACGTGCTAGCTTTTCCTTGCTGCAGCTGCAGAACGCGATGGCCATTCATCCTCCCCTGCAACAGCACTGTTAAAATAAATTCAGGCGCAATCCCTCCCCCGCTCCCCCGCTTCTTCTCCTTCCCTCCTATCCATCTCCGTTCTGCGTGCATGTATGTGATAGTTTCCCTTCCAAAAGCAACAGAAATAAATCTTTGGTCTTCTTTCTCTTCATGTGGCGGTGACGTGTTTTTTCGTTGTCATCCCGATTCGCCGTTTCGCACTACGATTATTTGTATGGGTTATTTGTTCTCGAAATGGTGTCTGATTTCTTGCAGGCAAGTGCTGGACAGCTTAAACAACAATGGACAGATTGGACGAGATGGGTCCATCGGGCGCGTGAGGGCAGGGGAAAGGAGGGGGAGAGGGGGGGGGGGGGAGCGCAGATTGCACTGAATGACAACACATTTCTCCTTCTTTCTCATTGGGTCAGGCAGCGAGCTGATGTATTACTGATTATGCGTCTCTTTTCTTGTTTGCCTGTAGCATTTCCTTCAACACTTTACTGCAGTCCCAGGTCCCATCAGCTACTCATCAGCGCAGTGCTAGGTTATAAGCAACAACCCCTTGTCCCTCCAGTTCAGGTCATATTTAATTTCATCCCATAAGTCTTCTTAATTTAGCAGTGTCAATGGAATGCTAGAAAGAGTGTATAGTGCGATGCAGTAATACCCAATCCAAAATATCCTTGCAGTTCCGGCTATCTCGATAAGAGATGAATGAACGAATCCTCTTACGTAAGTGAAATGGGGAGAAGAGGGGCATTGCGAGCACATCAATGGCCAAGTGAATAGAGATTGATAAGTTTAAGTGATGAGGTAATTAAATGAGGCTAATAAATCCAGCAATAGTTATAGTACCATTTGATCTATTCTTTCAACGTTTCAGGTCTTCTTAATCATAACAAACTGTCAAGAATTGTTATGTTCATTTCAAAATTACAGGAATCACATCAGCTCGAATGAGAAAAATAGTCATTTAAATAGTTTTCCGTGCAACAAAACGGTTTTAGTCATTATTTCTAATACTTTTGTTGCCACTTATATAATTTCATACTGTTAGGTATCAGTTTGTCACCTTTTTACATTGCGAATTGGTAATAACTGAGTAGTATCAAAGCATGTTTGCAAATCGAACAAAAATGTATGCTTTTTGTCGGCTAAAATAAGAATCCAACTTGCTGACATTAATTGGCTACTGCGAACTGAAGGCATAGCTTGTTGATATTTGAAAGTTGACATCTTGGACCTATGCCGGACAGGCATTTATTGCTTAATTAAAGTACATTTGCCTCATCACTGGAATGATGATAATTTCGTTCAATTTCTAACTCATTTCCTTGACCCATCTTTTCATTTATTATATTTTATTAAGATTATTTCTGATTTCGCCTGTTTAAGGCTTGTCGGTTATTCAGTGTTTGATCCGTTATGTAAGCCTAATAACTGAATTTGTTTGTGCTTCGAAGACTACACGCAGTTTCTTTTCTTTAGATTTTAGTGCAGGAGAATTCATAACACGTGTTAATTATACACTCCCTTACATGCTATGTGCTCATTTTCTGCATCTGTTCCTTCCAAACAACGATGGGGAATCTGCAAATTTTGAAGAGATGTCAACGATCCGTCAGTAGATGTTGAATTTCGCATTTTGTAAATCATTTAAATTTAACCCTCTGTTTATTAGCATCATCATCCTCTCTCTTCCGTTGCTGAAAAATATCTGCGATATATTTTGGTCGATATCGTTGTTAGTTTATAATCAGAAACACAGTGAAAAGTGTTCCTGTCGTTATCGCCAATTTTTTTTTCACTTATACGATGGAGATTCAGGTTCATAATTAGTGCAGTATTTCAGTCCCTTGGGGACTGTTTATACATTTTCCGTATTTATTTATTATGTCAGACACGGAATCTTTTCATGACGCAAAAAACATTCAGTTCTACTACAATCAATATCATCAATTTTCTTAGTAGAATTAAAATAACTTTTCAGTTACAGTAAATCACTATTTGAGACATTTTTGTCTCATTCACACATAAGTTTATCTGAATCCAAACCATTAGCTAATCAAACTTGATTTAACTGGATGAAGGACCGGTTTACATCTACCATTCTATATTTGAATTGCGTTTAAATAACAAATATAAGAAAGGATGGAAGGTTGTTTCAATTGTTGGCCCAGATTTTCACATAAAAGAAATAAGGACTGGTCAAACAGGCTTCAATGTGGTGAGAGGAATATTGTATTTAACAAAACTTTCTGCAGAGTTCTTACTTGACGACCGCTTCAAGTTTCCTTCCTATAATAACCTTTCCGATCCCAGTGTTTGTGATAGCCTTATTGTATCCTAAGAAGGCGATTATCGATTGACGAATAAATGTTTCGAATTACAGATTGCCAAGTGCGCTTGGCTCTCAGTATGGTGCTATCAACACGAAAATGCGTTTTGTATACCAAGTGTAGTGATATCAAGTCTATTTATCATTGGTTAACTGGCATAAATTCTAATTTGGTAGTTAATAACTGGTAGCCAGTTGAGAAGTTGTTTTCGTATGGTCATCAGTTGATGATTGTTGGCTAATCGAGAATATTTTTTCAATCTCATAATCTGTTATGATCATAGTAGCTCACTGGAATACAAAGCTCCTTCAATGAAGTCAAGAAGTAAGGCATTTAATATCTTCCAAGTTCTGTATTATCTTTGTCAGTGAAACTTCTACTTTGTTTTTCTTGATCATCATAGTATGGAAGTAATTCCATTAAAGCTTAAAAGCTTACACCATTTTCTATAGCAATGTCTCCGATTGCGATGTACATGTTCACTTCGTTCAGATATGATTGTTGATATTTGAGTGGAATCAGTTTCTCATTCTATTTCCGTCTCTTTATTGTTGTTCCAGGCTTGGGATTTGTGTTCGGATGCTGGAGCCTTCGTCCGGGCCATTCTTATGTTCATTTCCGTATATTTTAGAAACAGATCATCTAAAGAAAATAAATGTTTAACACTGGCTTCCGGATGGATGTCGCATGACCACATTGTATGAAAGATGATTAGGTTTTATAGCGTAATAGACTACACAGGGAAACTATGACCCAAAAAGGGAAGATGGAATTCCGGGATGTGAAGTCTCCTCTGAAGATGACGTTCAAGTTTCATACAAAAAAGGTAATGGTAGAATTCTATTAATGGTAAGTCAGTCGAAGGCTGAAATACTCATTTATTTAACTTACTGTGGCTTTCATCAGGGGTGTCATATTAGATGTTCTTATTCTGCAGCGATACAAAAATTTTATCGAATTTTACGAAATAGACATGATTGAATATATTCTGGAAAAGAAATTATTTGATAATTTCGCAGACTTCTTAGAGAATTAGTTATTTGTTAATTTTCTACTTTCATTCCATTCTCCATTGTCTCTTTCCCAAATTTTCTTAGTACTTTTTAATAGAATATGATTTATTGATAAGCAAGTGTTCGTTTTATGATCTCAAATTTTGTTATACAATGATACTATATCTATCATTGTATCATAATCTATCATAATACTATATCGCTATGCTAATGTGAAATCATTTGAAGATGTGCTTAATTGTTCATTTGTTAATTAATTTTCAGTTATGAAAGACATCCATGGAGCAGATTTGAACGAGAATTTATGTTGTTCGTTGTGCAAATCGTATTTGATTGATGCAGTGACGCTTACCGAATGTCTTCACTCCTGTTAGTTAGTCACTTATTCTCTGACCTCTCTTCACTCTTCATATTTCATTATTTCCACTCATTTTTCTCATTTTTACCCTTTCCTTTACTCCCTTTCATAACCAATTTTCCTCTCAGAACTAAAAAATAATTCATTTGGCTCTAACTCTTTGTTGATAAGATGTGCTACTGCACGGTTTTAACTTTCATTTAATGTAATATGTTCTAATGACTCAACACATTAACTTCAAATTAAAATCAAAAAATATACTATAATTGTTGGTCGGAATGTTATACTTTCTATTAAAATGCCGAGTTATTTTGATCTTCGATATTAATAAAATGTAATTTGAAAATTCTCTTTGTATAATACGCTGTCCAAATCTATCAATCTGCTATATAATTTCAGATTGTCGAGCTTGTTTGTTAGGTAACATCGAGAAAGCTGAAGTGTATCATTGTACAAAGTGTGCCGCATCATTCGGTAGAGATCTTTCTGAGGCTTTCGTGCGTGATGACACGCTGCAAAAACTGGTCTACAAAATGGTGCCAGAAGTTTACTGGCAAGAGCTGCTTCAACGTGGTGAATTTCTCAAGAAGCGAATCGTTTCACCGGATGAGAAAGCAACAATTCTTGATAAGGTAATTTTTGGGATTGTATGCTTGGATAGATTTCACGCTTCTCTCCCCTAGTGTATCAAAGTTTGCGAAATTGAAGTTTGACAAATAGATCTGCAATTTATTATGGAGCTGGCAGCTTTGGTATGTCTTATAGTCTTTGTGATTCCTCACATTTGCGAAATCCATTGTGCTTCTAAGTTATATCATGTGTATTACGGTTCGGTGCGCTGCAGTCCCATGCCATGATTTTGTTAACTTCACTTCCGATGTAGAAGAGTTGAAAAGTTACTGAACACTCCTTAAAAAGAACACTGGCAAATTTTTGCTGAGGAACTTCTGCATTTTATTTACTTTTTTTTCCTTCCGCAATTTATTATGAAGTGAAAGTAGGACACGATTCGCTAAATAATTCTGCAAATTTTAGAAGCTTATGCAACTCGCGTCAGAACTGTGTGCTCCAAATGAGATGGTTTCATTATGCTTAGAATATATATCACCGGGTATATCAGATAATGACACCGGTGAAGATAATAATGATAAGGAAGCAGTAAATGCGTCAAGATTGCTCGATGACAACAAGCCGTCAACAGTTGCAGAAGCTGATCGTTTAGAGAAGCAGGAAGCAATGTTGACCACATTCAGAAGGTATTCATATTTTCTCGGTGTCTTTCTTAATTCATTTCAAAATGAATACTGGGGAGTTTAAATTTTAGACTCGTGAGACCTTACCTCTTTCCTTGATGTTTTTTCCTTTCCAACTTTTTCTTCAAAATTTTGCCATCTCCTTTTATTTTCAAAAAAGAGGAGGCAGCTGTTACTGTCCTTAGCAGTCATTGCTTTCTGTGATTTGAAGCACTAATCATGTCGTGTAGTTTATTAGTTTTCGAAGGTATAGTTCAAGTTTTCCAGATATTTTCGTTGTCAAGCATCGACAAGAATTAGTGCATTGCGGAAATTACTGGAGGCGAAGTTGGAGGTTTCCGATACTTATCGATTATTTTTTGTTGACAGTGACTGCAATGTGATGTTGGATGATCAATGCACACTACAGGATATTGCTTATATGTTTTCATGGCGACGTCTGGGACCAATGAAAGTTCTTTTTACCTTACAGGTGAGTGCGTGCAAAGTGTTTCTAGACTTAGATTTTATCAATTCAATTATATCATTTTTCAGTACCGTTGATCTCAATTTTTGTTCTCACAAATTTGTTCTGGATTTTTTTATTTCACTTTTCTGTCCTTATTAACTTTGTAATTATTATATGTCCAGCGACATCTCGAAGAAGAAAAGCCACCAGTGTTAGATATGGAATTCATGCCGGAACTGGTTGCTGAAGAACCCCTTTCACAAGGAAATGCTGCAGTCACAGCTGCAATTGAAACTCCTGTACAGTTGCCAGCATTAACTGTTTCACTAAATACTTCAATGATGGAAGGTGGACCGAATCACCAACCTATCATCACCACTGAGGTGCATCCACCACCCAGGTGAAATGCTTTCTGGTCACTCGACTTTAAAATGCAATTCTATAATTGGGATAAGTCTCCTATTATGAATTAATGGTGAAATGTAATCGCAGTGAGAAGATTGTTATGGTGTTTTTTGGAAGACCACTTTAAGTGTGTAACAATGTTCTAATTGAAATTTATCTTCCATCTAGGGTTTAGTGAAGTGATAATAATAGGGAGTGATGAATTTCAATTCAAGAGTTTCCTTTGTTTCGGCAGTTTCTTCATGTATGCAATAAGGCATTCTCATTTTTTCGTTTTACTTAGATTTTTTTAACAGGAAAAAGAGGAAGTCTACCGCACCAACAAAGAAACAAGTTGGATCTCCAATTCCTGTGCAGCGCATGACCGGTGTCTCACCACTCGCAAAAGGACCTCCTCCGTTAGTGCGGCTTGAGAACACAGGTTTAGGCAAGAAATCCAGCAGCAGTGGGCGTACAAAATCTACTGAAAAAACCTCTACAAAAACACCATCTCATGAAGATACGCCAGCTACAAAGCAAGCGAAGCTAATGCCAACATCTTTTGATAACAAGTACATTTTTTACAATTTTAATATAACATTACAATTTTTTACTTGATTTTTACTCTCTTTTATATTTTACACTGAATTTATTTTTCAGATTACAACAAATTATTGATTCTTCTCCAAGTCGTTCGGCAAAGATTTCTAAGGGATCCAGGGCAAAGACATTACCAAAAGCAGCGTCTTCTGGTGCTACTGAATCGTCATCTCAACTTGTGTCGAACGATAAGTCTGTAGATTCAAGTAATAAAACTGGAAATACCAACTGTAGTTTGCAGTCTGGGAAGTTAATATCCACTGATGGTATCAAGACAGAATCGAGTTCATCCAGTGTGAAAACTGAAAATGTTACAACCAAGGAGAAAACTTTTAGTAAATTACATACAATTTCGAAAATCACAGAAAATACCACAGTGATTACTACTATTTCTACTCCGACAAGTACAACGGCAACAACAACAACAACAATCAGTCATCCAAGACCAATACAGCCGCGTCCACTGGAGATGAAAACTAATTATGAGGCTTTAGTGAAAAGTTATGGCTTAAACGGAATGGGAAATAAGGTGTATAATTGTAATCGTTCCTCTTTTGTTTCTTAATTCTTGTTATGAAGGTTTTTTAGTCTCAGGTCACTTTTTTTCTTAACTCGATAATTTGTCGATGAATTTATTCCGTGGCATAAATGACTTTTTTCTAGCACAAAATAAGCAGCGATTTTGTATTTCATGGTAAATTTCATAATTTATTTGCAGCTTTCCTCTTTTCCTCTAGACGGAAAGCACGTTGGGTTCAGTCCACCGTTACACATGCAACCACCACTATTTATGGATCCAAAAATTGCTGCACAACCAATTAAACATATTCTTTCTGGACGGGGTATGCCCATTGTGCCTGAAACTACTCCTTATTTAAGGTATTTTTCGACCTTTTTTTTTAAATCATAGCGAGTAGAGAACTCACATAGTTAGATATAGACTGTAGTGCATTTCATTAACTTTCCTCCTAAAAAATGGAATTTTATTGTTCCGAGAGTAGAAGTACGCCTGCGTGTAGATAAATCAATGTAATTTTATTCTGAATATTTTGAAAAAACTATTAGTGGTACTAATGTTGCAAAAGCTTTTTATATAGGTGCTTTGCTTTTTGATAGAATCAAACGTAAGACGACTGCGTCAGGATATGCATTTCTTCTTAGCTAATTAAATAATAAATTATTAATTTATTTATTCACAACAAGGATGGAAAAGTGTAAAATCATTTGCTGCTTCATGAAAAATAATTAAAGGAATATTTTGAATGTAAATTTGTTTGCAGGAATCCAGCTTTGGCAAATTTCATGCATCACCTGCATATGCAACCACCTCCAATTCCCGGACTTACTGGTACCACTACTCCACCTCTTCCCTCTCACAACAATGGTTCACCATCGTCGTGTTCGTCATCTAATCAACTTGCATCAACACATAGTCCTCCAATCAGTAATGTTCCTTCAAAAAGTTCTCAGCAGCAGCAACTCAAACATCCCACAGCAGTGCCTCTTCCACCAACAGTTACTAATTCAGGCGGTAACAGCAATAAATTGTTAAACAGCAGCGGTAGCAGCAGCAGAGCATCTTCACCAGCTGCTAAATTGCAACAAAAAATTGCTTCACCGATTCCAATTCCGACTGCTCACATAACACCCTTTATGAGCCACAGTTAATCCTTCCTACATCTTTGTTTAAGCGACGTGGAATTGATAAGCGGTCAATTACGAGAAGTAGATAGATTGGTGGTTAATAAAAATGTTCTATAAGTTCTTGCCTCAGTTCCACGTTAACCTAGTTAATCATTTTTTGAATCCTTCCAGTCTTGCGCAAGGGTATTCATCTCACTCCTAGTTGAGACAGCTAATTTATGTTGTTAATATGCTCATTTTGTGGTAATATAATTGACTGCAACTTCAAGCTGTCAAGATTGGACAACTCGTGCATTTCTTCTTCATCTGTGCTGTGTGTTACTGTTTACTGTACAGAAATGTGTAAATAAGTTTGTCTTTTTTTAGTTGATATTTAAATCATCCTTTTTTACTGGCTAACGCTGGTCATTTCTGTCATTTACCCTAATCTTGTCATTTTCCAAATAATACTAAGCTTTTTCCCAGAACAGGTCAAATCTTAGTTATTTATACATCATAATGCGCTAAGGAATGCAAATTATTGGCTGTTTGTCCTATCAAGATATAGAACAGAATCGAGATAAGATAAAATCATAAGCAGAATTAGAGAAGATCAAAGAATGATTCTTAACGTTTCGTTCATTGCATTTTTCGTGTTTACCAGTTCTTCCTGAAATGTTACATTTACAAGCTAGATTTTTTTTAGCGGAAACTTTTATCCGGTGTATGGTTACACTTCTGTATTGTAGAGTGCATTTCGTTAAGTTTGTAATGTTCTTTTGCTGTATTATTTTAAGGCGAAGCATTACTTTTGATGCCTGTTTTTTGTTATTTTAAGCCAAAAATTTTCTCTTATCTCATTGATGATGACTTGTTTTATGTAGCATTATAATCTAATTTACTGTTATCTGCTTGATATCATTGAATAATTGCAAGTTATACAAATAAATTTGGAAGAATTCTAATTATATATTCTTGGTAAATATGTGCAAAAAAATGAATTCTATTAGACATGACGAATGTATCGGATTCCTGAAATTCAGATCCGGAAATCGAAAAGCTGTATCAAACATTATTTGAAATTGTTGCGTCATGACGGGGAAGAATTTGTTACCGGTAAAAATCAAGCAGAACTATGAGTCATGATTCGCTCTGATCTCAGCTCATTGCACGAAACATTAGGTTAACTTGTTTAACCTTACCATATTTAATATTCAATATTTCCTTCATACTTGTCGTAAATTGAAAATATTTTTTTCCTCGAAATCTCACTATACTTGTAAGATTTGGAGTCATTTGCGCCAAGTGGTGACTGTAAGACTTATTGTACTCCTCACATTGTTTACGTCTCACGTAAAATATTCTCGCAAAGTTAAATATATTATCAAGTCAAATGGTTTACAGTACTGTTTGGACTACGTGTACGTGTCCTCATATCGTCTTCTCATTCTTATACCGTGTGTTTCTTTCTCGTTGAGTCTTAGATGGAGTTGGCTGAAGAAGTGGGAAAATTGGTTCAATAAAAACAATAATTTTCTCGTGAATCTGAATCCAAAAGAGGTGTGCTTTTGTAGAAGTGGACATGAAGAACTTCGAGTCACATCATCGGCGCAAATCTACACTTTCAATGCTAGCTTCAGTTGACTGAATGCAATAATTCGAAATTTATTTCGTAATGTGGCGGGAATTCATGCATTTCCAAACCTGAAAAATCCTACGAATATGAAGAAACTGAAAGCGGAGACCTAGTTCTGTATACGTTGGGTTACGGTATCAGCTTTAGAGTACGGTGTTTGGAGGAGGAGAAGTATATAAGTACCGGGTTTTTCGTTGTTTTGTTGAATGCAAATGTATGCGGCCAGTTTACAAAATACTTCTAGGTGCTTTTATGTTGTGATGCTTTGCTGATAACACAATAGCTTAGATTATGGAAAGAAATTCGGCGCAGTTTTATTTCTTCCAGATCCATTTCTGTCATCAAAGTTTCAGTGATGACAATGGTGCCCGTAAGGGATGAAAAAATCCGAGAATAAAAGTGTAAGTTATTTGTGTTCCTTTCATTTCCTTGGATAGATCACCAAATTACGATATGCATTAAACCATGAAAACCTGAGTAATTATATTTTCAAAAAATACTAGTCACTTTTGATTTCTTGGTTCTCTTCTGTGGCGTCGAAGATAGGGATTCGTTGATTGTCAAAAATTGCAACTAGGAAGATGAAATTAGCATGATCCAGTTATACTTTTTACTGCATAAAGATATTATGAGTAATTACAGTATGTTGTGGCCATTCAGACTCATCAAATTTCAAGTGATAGCTGATAACAGTCACGTTCAATTGTTTTCTTCGAATTATTCGCCTTTCAAATAATAATAGGTACAATTAAGTGATGGTCAGATTTCTAACACTTATCAAGCACTTGAGATGTTCAGTGTCATTAAAAATAAAAAAATTATTAAAAATAAAGACACGAGAGATATTCGTTGATAACTCAACAAATATCCACAAGGAACGATTTATAACAATTCAGTATGTTGACCTTTAACATATGCAGCCGAATGCTTGCGACATTTAAAGTGTTACTTCCGAAAATGCAAATAGATTTGCATTCAAGGAATAGGAAAACAAGATATCTGTTGATGTCAACATCATGGATTTCAATTTCGATATAAACTTTAAATGAAAGAAATTTCATTTGTTTTCTATAAGCATGTTCAGAAACTACTAAATACTGCAGTGGGAGAAGTATCCAACCTCGTTATCAGTTGTTCTTTTCTTATCTCTATTATTACTATCACTCTGAAATGATCAAATGACATTGAGTAATGAAAATGTATCCCACCTTTTCTTTCATATACATAACGAATTT